CTTGGCTTAGAGATTATTTTTCCTCCCGCACTCAGTTTGTCCAGTCGGGAAGGAGAAAATCTTCTATTCTTCCAAACAATTGTGGAGTTCTACAAGGTTCCATCTTATCCCCTCATCTTTTCTCCCTACATACTGATGATTTGAGATCGCCAAACGACTGCCTGTATGTTAAGTATAACGATGACATGGTTGTAGGCCACCCACTCAAAAACCTGACTCACCTACAGTCTTTAAAGGATGGCTTAGACCACGTCTCCGCATGGTCTTCGAATAATGGACTCCTACTCAACAATCAGAAATCAGTACAGTGTGTGTTTCGATTGCGACCCTCTCCCATTCCTGAACCTTTGGATATTCTTCCCAATGAGGTATCTTCTTTCCGGTACCTAGGTGTTACTTTATCCTCAAATCTCTCTTTCTCTCTTCATATGGAAACCCTTTTAACAAAAATTCAAAAACTTGTTTATTATATTCGTCGTCTACGTTCATATCACACACCCCAGTCCTTAATCTGGCGATTCATAGATGGCTGTATTCTCCCACTCATTCTTTATTGTTCTCCAGTTATTTTTCCAGCTTTACTTAAAAAAGATCTAATTATTTTTAAACGTGTCATTCGAATGCTCGCCTCTGCTGCTGGTGTTTCCTATCATCTTTTAGTTGATATCATCGTGCAGCGACACTTCAACTCGGTAGAGCGGTTCGCTGACCGAATTCTGAATGACACCGTCCATCCCCTTCATAATGAGTTAATGGCTGCGAAATCCTTACGCCCCACGCGTCGATGCTTCCGCCACATCCCTTGCCGCACTTCGGCCTATCGGAATTCCATACTGCCATTTCTAGCCCGGTATCTCACCTGCAAAGATGTTGAAAAACAAAAACTAAAACTCGATCTTGCACCTTAAAGTCCTTTTTTCTTAATATATAATCATCTCCACCCGTCTGTCCAAAAACCTGTTAATCTCAATGGTAATCACTGTGTACTGGAGAACCGTTTTTGCTGAAAGTTTTGAAAGTTATTTTCAAAATAAAGCAGTCCTCTCTCTCTCTAACTTTACTACGTGATCCATAAGTTTATTAAGAGTTAAAGGCTAAGCAACATGGTAAATTCAGTTGTCTGGAAAAGCGTCGATGAATAGAAGGCTGTCAGAAGAATCAAGATGATTATACATTAATGTCAGATAAATGCTTAAAAAACCATCATAACACATAATTTTTCGATACGTTGACTACAAAATGCCGATATTGATAAATTAACAACCGTCCTCTGGAAAAACTAATAACCAGTACATGTAATGAATACTTTATTGGCTAAAAGGATGAGCGATGTGTAGTGGCAGATGAAAATGCCAGAAACATGCCTCGCAGAGCGTCAGTCTGAACGGATTTATGTCGCAGCACAATAAGGACGAACGCATCCAACGAAGGAAATAAGTGGAAAGTAGACACGGTATAAACATTCAAAGTTATGATCGTTCAGTGCAAGTATTGTGCGCACGAAGTTGAAATATCACACCAACTCTTAAGGTCTGGAATCAGAATAACGTATAGGTTTTACCAAGAAAACGCTTTTTATATTTACTTTATGAACACCAAATACACATGGGTGTCTGCTTTCAAAATACTCGCAGAGTTTTGATACTTAAATTACTACGTATTTTCGTAATCATCAATTTACATACACCTAGCCTTCTGCCGTAGGTTGCAGCAATAACTACCTCAAAATGAGTTTCTGAGGAAGCAGAAACGTCATCTGCTCCGACACCGAAAAGGGATCCATGCAGAGTTTTGTAGCCTAGAAAAGTAGATCGCACAAAGTAATTCATAAAGAACGTAGACAATACGACCCAAATATTCTGTTCATTTGTTTTCATTCGCACATTTGGCGGAAAACAAATGCATTTTCGAGGAACATTAACTTAAAATTGCATTTCTTCCCCCACTGCAAGTTGTTTAGTTTTAACTCCGAAAAACTGTTTTCTCTAATAATTTATTATTTTACTCCAACTTACCTCTCTCTTTTTAGCAGAGGATATTGATGAAATGATTGATTCGGAATTTCGGATGCGTTAGAAGGCACTAGGAGTAGAATCGGATCTTCGAATATTTTCATTTCTATTAAAGTGTATAAAATCACTGCTTGTGCAAATACCATAATATAAAGGCTTGAAATTGAAAACGATATTTCCTCTTTGCTATTTGCTAAACACCCATTCACGGAAAACCAGACCTATAAGATCACAAATAACGTAGTCTTTTCTTTGTCGCTCGTATGATTCGGGAAGCAAGAATAATTCTTTAAATTACGGCTAGTGTGGCAATAATTCGTCATACGCGATTTTGTAGGGTCGTACCTGAATAATAACGAATTAATTTTACCGATGAATAGAAATGAAAAATCGTCATCCTATGAAAAAAGTCATTTTAACAATAGTGACGTCGTATTCACTGTCTGTGGAATACTGGATTTCGGCATGAGTGTTATCACTTGCTATATTGGTTTCATTGACGGCTGTAACACCTAAAAGATAGCGCACAATTTGCCCCTGAAAATGACTGCGGACTGCTTGCATAATGGTCACAGCTAACATGTTTTCCTACTTTAAGAATTAACGTGAGCCGCAAGATGTTACATGTTCGGTCCAAAGGTAGTTGCGGAGCTCAGACTACTTAACTTCATACACATTTTATCCGCGACGATGATTTTTTGCCGAACTCCTCACGAACGAATGTTTTGGACGGTGCCATTCAGGGTGGTGGCAACTCTTCCTTAATCCCTAAGACTGCACTAATTCAGCAGAGTAGACATAAACTGTTTTAAGAGGTGTAGGTTAAGGGACCATTCCTGGAAAGCGGCTAATAGTTTCTTAAAATATTAGCTTACGCATTATTTGTGGTGATACACATGTGCAAACTGGTCTCGCTTCTAAACTAGAATCAATGCCGCAAGCACATTGACCTGTTATTTTAATATAGGAAGTGACCAGTAGGCCTCTCGGATTTTATTCTTCATATAAATAAAATATGGCAACAAATGTTCTAATTTCGAATGTCATTGTGAATAAGGAAGCGCAATGATGGTAAGGCGCCGCGACCGTGTGTTCATGTGTCCGATCTTTCGAACTCAGCAGAAGTCCATCTTCGGAGATAAAAACAATACCAGAACAGGCAACAGTTGTAGGGGGTCCTTGTCAATGAAATATCAGTGTATGCAGACGAGGAGATGATTGAGCAAGGCCCTGTATACCGGCCCCAAATCGTTGTGTCGACTGACTGAGTTCGCATGCGAGGTCCAGGCGCCAATCGATTATCGGCCTGTCTTGTTTCCGGCGTGAGCAATTCTCTTGGCGACTGCAATGTTAAATTTGTGGTCCGTTTCGAAGGTCTGGGAAGGCATTTGCGATAATTCGTCCCCCTGTCGTTCAGTTAGGATATGTTCTTTTTGTGTGAACGATCAGAGCATGCGTTCAGTCTGACCTGTGTAATTTTAAAGGCCAATTTGGACGGGAGATAGGATTCACCAGGTCTGTCTGCTTGTTCATCTTTAGTCGGCATCAATTTTCACGGCCTTGTTTAGCATGTTAGCATTGGACCCGTTTGCAGTCTCAAAATATAGCCCCACAGCAATGTGCTGGGTCGCTCTTGAAACGTTTCCTTTGCATGGCAAGAGAAAGCAGAATATCAAGTAATAATTTAATACTCGTTGGGTCTCACGCCGACGTTTAGTCCAAGCCCACTAATCAGTTGTTCGCACCTCAGTTTAAACATTTTCCATGAGTCGTTATCTGTCTTCCAAAATAAAATCCTTTAAATCTTAACAAATGTCATGCAGACTGGATTTTCTCCCGATATACACTCCTTCAGATGCTACCGTCAGGTCTCCTGTGTTTATAAGGACAGCAAAGAAAGGAAGCGAACCGACGGTGAGGGCGGTATGAGGTCACGTAGGCGGCCCAGACCATTGGTCATTCCCTCATTAAACCCCGTGACCCATAGTTGACAGCGGTATCCATCCGTTGCGGCAAAGCAGCTCTATTTGGGAAGAGCACTGCTTTCCCCGCGAGGGGAGGGGACTATAAAAGGTGCCCTAAACAAAGCTGTGTTCACGACATCGGCGCGCAGACCGTGTCTTGCAGACGGCTTAACTGGCGACCAGAACTAATGCACAAGACAAAATACTCTCTCTTCCCCATCCTCCTTCCTGCTGTCCCATTCGCCAGAGCGGTAGGGTAAGTCCGCTCATTCTGGCAGTCTGGAATGTTCGTCGCCTTTTAAATAATCCCTGGAACAACTGACAAAAATAAAGGACGGTGCAAGTTGCTCGAGAAATGGCGCGATATCAAATGGACGTCGCTACACTCCGCGAAGTCTGGTTCCCCGAGCAAGGCCAAATGAAGGAAGTGGATGCCGGCTACACCTTCTGGAGCAGCCGTCCTTGCCATGCCGAACGACGTCGTGCGACGACTGTTCTGTCGGCTTCAAGGCATCATCGATGGCCCGATGAGCCTCCGCCTCCGGAGGTCCAACTTCGTCACCATAATCAGCGCCTACGCCCCAACAACGACCGGCTCAGACGAGATAAAGTTCAAGTTCTACGAGGACCTGCACGACCTCCTGACGTCTGTGCCGAGGACGAATAAGTGGACTGTACTTGGTGACTTCAATGCCCGCGTTGGAACTTACTGTACTTTCTCGAGGAGAGAGTTGGGTCCTAACGGAATCGCCGGCTACAATGGCGAACCAACGAACCAGGGGTGAGTACCGACTCCTGTTAACCAACGCATTTTTTGTGCCTGCCGACGTGGAAAGAGACTACCTCGATCGCGGCGCTGGCAGCTGCTGAAATATGTTCTCGTTCGGCGGCCAGATCGACATGAAGTGATGATGACGAAGACGATCTCCGACGATCATGGCTGGAAGGACCACCGTCTCGTCATCTTCAAGATGAGGTTTCGTCCACATGATAAGCCGAATACTTTCTTGCTGTTTTTGCTTTCTCACCGTTTGCATTTCAGCAATCGATCGACCCGACGGCTGGAAGACCTGCTAACAGCAGATGAAAACGCCACCGTAGGGACTCGATGGTGCCGAATGCCGGCCGCCGCTCAATCGACTGCTTTAGCTTGTGGCGGTCAAGGATGTGAGATCGACTTAAACCACGCACAATAAGTTCGTTTCGTCTACTGTCAGAAGTCAGGGAGCTGTGAGGACTAGTTTATTCTGTACACAGGGCAGGTTGCCGTAAGTTGGCTGTTTGCTTGCAACAGAGAGAAGCGTCCGTTCACGGAGAGCGTCAGTCGCGGTGTCTGTGTTGTCTATGCGGGAGTGCGTCTGGGTCAGCAGGAGGGGTGACTGGCTGAGTGTTGGTCGTGCGACTGGACAAATTAGGGGAGGAAAAGGAGCGCATGCAGACAATGCCTCACGGGTATCAATCCAGGGCGTTCGACGCGCGTGAGGTGATGAAAGGTTGTGAGGTCAGCCGACAGTCACTGAAGTTGGACCGGAGGTGTCTGAGTGTTAGCCGGCGGGGTTGGCTGTGTGTCAACAGCTGTCGCGGCCATTGTTCAACAAAACGGAGCCGGAGAAAAGGGGGACTGGAGCAGCTGCTACAAGCTGCACTCGGCTGCGTGCGTCGCCAGCAACAGGACTGGTTTGAAGAAAATAAGCAGCCACCAGTAACCCGCTGATTTTGGAAATTGAACAAGCCAAGTTGAAACTGAAGTTTATATGCCAGAAAACACAGGGGGAATGCTGGAGAACCCACAGATGAGCCGAATCCCTCGCAGCGGCATCAGGCAACGGCACAAGATCGGGGAAACACGCGTTTGTGGGCAAGGACTTCTGTCCGAAAGCCTGCCTGGTTTCGGACGACACTGGGGCACCATGGAAATGGTGTTTGCCGTTCTCCAGGAGATGCGGACTCACCTCTACACCTCCTTCGTGGACTTGACGATGGCCTTCGATACGGTGGAATGTGAGGGACTGCGGAAAGTCATGCAGAAATTCGGCTATCCTAAACTATTCACGCACTTAACACGTCAGCTTCACGAGGGAATCATGGCGCGCTCCACTGACACCGGCGCAAATTCCGAGGCATTCGCATCGACCAATGAATTGAAGCAGGGCTGCGTCCTTACGCCTTCCCTCTTCAGTCGTATATTTTTGTCATGCTGTTGAATGCCTACCACGATGAGCGTTTTAGGTAAGCATAGCTTACACAATTGACAGGCATCCTCTCAACAGCAGGCGCATGAAGGCCATGACGCAAATATTTACGACTATAATGCACAAGCTGCTCTTCGTTGATGACTGCACACTCAACGCCAAAACGGAAGTGGGCATGTAATGGAGTATGGACCTTCTCGCCGCCGTGTGCGCCAACTACGACCTGACTGTCAACGCTGACAAAACGGTGGTCATGCACCAACCGTCACTCAACACGCAACGATGCATTCCGCGTTGAATTACTGTCGACAGCCACCAACTTGAAGCCGTAGAAAAATGTGTTAATCTCAGAGGCACACTTTTCAAAAGCACCAGTATCGACGAGGAGTTTGCCAAGTGTTCGGCGGGCCGCAGAACTCCGCGTGGAACTGTCATGGCCTCCAACTTAATACCAAACTGAAAATTACAAGGCAGTTGTCCTGATGGCCCTCCTCTGTGGAGCAGGGACTTGAAACCATCTACTCCTGTCATGCCTAGAAACTCAACCACTTCCATCTCAGCTGCCTTCACAAAATACTAAGGCTGAGATGGCAAGACGGCATCCCCTACACGGAAGTTCTAGAGCGGACCAGAATCCTCAGCATCTACGCCATGCTGAGACAACTGCGGATGCGTTGTAGCGACCGTATCGTGAGGACAGAAGGCACACGACTACCACCACGACCCCTCCTATGACGGTTTCGCTGCCGGCAGGTCCAGAACGACGTTAGAAGGACTTTGTCGAACTTTCTCGAACGACTGCATATCTATCCAGAGACACGGGAAGACACTGCTCAGAATAGACCGGACTGGAGAACGAATTGAAGGCCGACGCTGCTATTTCCGAGGCAAATTCGCTGCCAAAGCCAAACGGGAGGATAACAAATTACAACCGTCTCGCTTCCTCAATGCCAACCAATCGCCGCTTCCAACATGTCCGCGCTTCCAACGCACATTCAGCGCACGAATCGGTTTCGTTGGACACCTTCGGACCCAATGCGCTATCAACCCGATAACGCCTACTTCTTCTCCCCCTCTCAGCCCTGCCGCACTCCTCATCGCCAATCACACTGTCGCTGCTCTGCTGCTACCATCCACCGTCTTGTCCCAACCCCTGCATCGAACGCAGTGGCCAGTGTCACCATTAACACGACTTCACGCACTCCCCCCACCGATGGAACGACGTCTGATATCGCATCATCACCAACACTCCCACCTCCGGCAATGCGGACTCCGTTCATGCCTGTCCCCATTGCGATCGCGCAATCACCCCACACATCGGCCCGGTCGGTCACTTGCAAATCAATTACACAGAGACTGGCGAGTTGGAGCACCGATCTCCACTCACCGTACCCATTTCAACTGCCCTCACTGCCCCTTTACATTCACCCATCGTATGGGCTTCGTAAATCGCATGAGCTTTTACGAAAACCTGCGGTGGACAACCGCCTGTTAGTTCATAAATCTCCACCGGCACCCACATCACACAATAATATATCTGCTGCAGGAACCCGACCGCCACATCCCGCGCAAGTGGGAAGTGCGCTCCCTGGCTCCATTTCCGTGCTGCTCTTCGGCTGCATGTGTGATCCGAGCCTGATACTACCTCGGCGCGCCAGCGCCGTGGCTTGGGAGGCTGCCGACTGACACCTCAACTCAGTCCACGCATTCTGTCCTGTTGGGTGGGCTCATGTCGAATTGCGGACTGGTGGGATGAGGGCCAGATTGTAACGGCTCTATCTTAAGTGATCTCTGACACCCCTATGTATGCAAGGCGTGTGTGTTGCTTAATGGGTGGTGCCTTTCAGTCGCTGACTGACTGGTTACCCAGCCTTTGAAGGGTGATAGCCCAGACCCAATGTAGGACTGCATGCCACCCCTCTAGACCTCAAGGTTTGTGAGCGTCGGCTGTGCCATGATCGGCAAACCATGGCCCTCGCTGTCTGGTGTGCGCTAGCAGTTTACCGGAACCTGGTTCTCTGGCGGTAGGTGCTCATGCGTTCCCGCTCTGTATAAATGTCGTGTGCATGTCTGCCTAGTAATCCACATACTTTTGCTTGCTGTTGGCGTTGTTGATCGAGATCTTGGTCAAGTGTTTGTTGTGGACCAGGGGTGTGGTGGAAGGTGTAGGTGCGGGTTTGGTTTTACGAGCCACCTGCGTCCTCCCTCATATCCAGTCTCCGGTCTTTTTGACACTTTCTTGACACCGGGTCCAGGTCATGGAGGAGGAGAGCGTGTGGTAAGTGCCGCGCAAGACTTCTATCGCTATAAACTAATTTACGGTCTGGTCGTAACAGCCACCTGCGTCTACCCTCACCTCCAGTCTTCTTAACTATATGCTGACACCGGACTCAAGTGTGAAGGAGGAGATAGTGAGTTAAATACTGCGCAAGCCTACCTACACTATAAACTGATTTGCGCTCAAGTCACCGGGTCTGCCTTCCCCTGCGGCGAAGCACAGGGTGGGCATCATCGGATGCGACCGTCGATGTTCTTTATGCATGGATATTTTTTCGAATTTTTGTAGAAAAATAAGAGTTTGACGGCGTTTGCCAATAATTTCCTTAACACACCTGATGATAACTAAACTTCTTTATTTTTCCACATTTAATATTTATGCTATAAATTTATTGCAAAAAAGTACTTAGAAATATCCAGTTGGCTTAGGTGAGCACCGTCTTGAGTGTTCATTTCCTCTTAAATATAACATATTTTTAAAATTTTTGGATGACTATCAATCAGTCTTTTCATCGTACTGGACAAACCCGGTTTTTGTTAACTATATATTAGCGCATCGGTCAACGCATATGATATATTTCTAAATTGGTGGGCAGGTAAATGGGCTAATTAGAAGCCAGCGTTTAGATAGCCATGGTAGAGGGGGCGCTCACCGATCGTTTTTTACGGAACTCACTCGTTCCGTTGTGCCTTACGTGTTCTCTCTCGGGTCCAACCAGCAGCCGCACAGCGGCGCCCGATACAGGCAGAATTTTATCACCGACAAAGACAAGGGAGACTGGAATGGCCATTTCTGGCTTATAAGTCGCCCTTAGCCAGTCACACCCAATCCCGAAGTGCTGTCGGTAATAACACTCTGCCTATATCATGCCCCGCTGTGCAGCTGCTGGTTGAGTTCGAGAGAGAGTCCGTAAGGCACAACGGAACGAGTGAGTTTCGTAAGAACGATCGGTGAGCACACCTCCACCATTGTTTATTCGCGGTCGAAACCGACGGGACAACTGCCCGTAGCTCAGTGGTTAGAGGCGTCGGACTTCTAACTAACGGGTCGCGAGTTCGAGCCCCAGGTGTTCCACATAGCGAGGTTGGGTATGACTGGCAGACGAAATGGCCAGAAATGGCCATTCAAGTCTCCTGTGTCTTTGTCAACAATAACGTTCTGGTTGCATTAAGTGTCAAGTAATTTCGAATTTTGTCAAATTGAATTTGATTTAGTCTTAGTATCAGAAAAAATATGATAGGTTAAGTTGTTTTACTATTTTCCTGATAACCTAAGGGTAGAAGGAAAAGGAGGCGGGATTATTGAAGCAAAGATTTCCTCCCTCTGTTTGCTCTCAGACTGAGAGAAAGTTTGTGCTTGGTATTCATACTTCCGTCGCTGACCTCCGTTTCGCTAGAAATTGCCAGCATCTGCATCAGTTGGACATTTGGCAGGGTTAGAAGCGGTGCAATGCACATCTTTGTCGACAGTCGCACATGTTGCGCGTTATTCTTCCACTACTGACTTAAAGTTGCGCAGACGCTGGCGACATTTCTAAATTCGCGTCTGCAGACTTTCGCGTCCACTTTGAAAGACCATTTGTCTGTCCGGTTTGGTTTTGACTGACAGCTTACACAACAAATGTACTACCTCGTAAAATGTCAACTGAAATTCTATAGTGCGTTTTCGATTATCAAATATTACTTCGGTAGGATTGTAATATTAATTATCTTGGGGTATAATTCGCAAATATTTGTGCCACGTCAGATTCCCTGCCCTTGGACGAGTTTTTTCCGTCCACCTGTAAAAACTAAATTGTAAAAAAACGGTTACCGTGAAGCATGAAATGTTTTTTCACTGATTTTAGAAGCTCTTATAGATCAAAATGCATTTTATGGAAAATACGAGCAAAAAAGTTCATTCTTGTACG